TTCGAGACGCTTCGCGCAGGCGAGTACCCTTGATCATGGATCTGGAGGAGATCGTGAAATCAAGGGCTGGGGAAACCGGCGTGCCTTCTGATCTGAGATGAGTTCGGCTTGGGTTGGGCGATTTCACAGGGCCCCAAGACTGCCATGGGCACTCGGGTTTCGAAGCGGGAAGCCAAGTAGTCCGACGAGAAATTGAGCTGGAACAGGATTGAGGAGTTGATTGACGAGGTCAGGCCCTTTGCCACGGAATCCCCTTTTCGTCCTTTTCGGCGAGGACCTCCTGATGGAAGGCGCAGGGAACATGCATATATCCCACAGTGAAGGGAGTGGATCTCAGTTGGGGGGGGCCCGAGACCCCCCCCCCACGGGCGCGCGCGCGCCCCGCCCCCCCCCCCGCCCCGCCCCGCCCCCCCCCCCCCCCCAAGGCTGTCAAGGCGGAGCGTGAGTGGATGTTTCAACAAATCGAGGAAGGAGCTGTATTTGGCTTTGCCAGTTTTGAACGGTATTTGCGACTGCCGCGCTACCAATCCGGGCGAGACCGCGGCCCCGTTGTCGCGGATCATGCAGAGCTAGTCGGGGCCGAGAGCGCGCAGGATTAGGGATTATGCGGCGTCGGGGCCATCGCCGCTCATTGAGGCCACGCTGAGGAGATACATTGGCGAGGCGGTCGCCGCGCCCTCCATCAAGGGTTGGGCGCAAGCCAGCGCGCCACGGGACACCGATGGCCCTTTTATTATGCAGCGAAGCTGGGGCTGCTCATCGAGCAGGAAATCCAGCGCCAGCTTCCTCCTCTCATCTCGGGCCACGCGGCGACCCCGCGCGCGTCGCCTCGCATTTTCGGGGGCAGCGACAGCCACTCGGAGGTCCCAAAAGATGGGAGATCGCTGGGTTTGGCGGGGCAGCGGACATCCCGACGCGCGCTGCACGACGCGCTCCGGGGGGGGGGGGGGGGCGACCGCGGGGGCGCCCGGCGTGACGATCAGATCCAGGGCGGCTGCCGCCCCCAATCAGAACGCGGGCGCGCGCGGGGGGGCGCCGCGTCCGACGCAGAACTCTAGTCGATGTTTCGCCAACGTCTGCGCCAAGTCTGGGCTGTTTCTTTCCCGAAGCGACGATTGCGACCTCGCGCGCTGGTTTCCAGCGAGGTTCGAGGAATTGAAGGGCTGGCGGCGATGTTTGGATAGGCGGCCACTGGATCTGGGACTGATCGAGGTGGTGCCGCTTGGAGAAAGCCGAAGCCAGCTCGACGTAGATGAGGCACCGATAAGAGGTTCACTAGGGCCAAGGGGCGCGGCGCACCTAGTGGAGCGCGTCGGCGCCAAGTTGACGCTGTCGCAAGCATTGCTGACCGCCGATTACTCGGACGAGGTTTTCGGAGAAGCATCGTCAGACCCCCGCCGCGACAATGATCATCGTTTGATCGAACCGTCAATGTCGGCGGCATCTAGGCCGGGCTTTGATGAGAAGCTGTCGAGGCGAGCGCGGCGGGCCGCCAGTCTTCGAGTCGGTGCGAGACCGCAGAAAGGCAGATGGAGGGCATTCGTGGAGTCATCCCAGCGACTATCGTCTCTTTACTCGATATGGGTTGGGATCCTGTTCCTCCTCGGGATGAGTTCAGTGGCGACGGGGGCAGACGCCGAGCCCGCGGCTTCCCGTTTGGCGCGGGCCAACGAGATGCGGCCGCCCCGAAGGATGTCACCCTGGAGTCTTTGGACATATTCTCATCGAGCAGAGCAAGCGAGCATAGAAATAGCACGAGTCATGAGCACGGAGCTGATCTTAGAGTTGCCAGGTCGCATGGTTGGCGCTATCGAAGAAGCTATGACAGGGGCTTCGCGGGCACGCGCGAGGATTGTTTCACGTGGTGGGAACGATATTGGATTGATGTTATATCCAGGTGCAATGCGATGGAGCCGCCGGGCGCCCACCGCAACTTGGGCCCGATCTGCAATGGGGAGCCCGCCGTTGTCTTAGGTGCACAGGTCAAGCGGGCCCAGGAAGAGTACGAAGCCTTGCCTCTTTCTGCGGTTGCAGCGTGCGCTGTTTGCGCATGTGGCCCACGTCGAGGAACCACCTGGCGCCCCTGTCGATGCGGCCCGCGGCGAAGTGTCGAGACTGATGGGGCAGGGGGGGATCCCGATTGGAGGTGTCGCGCCAGGAGGTGAACGCCCTGGATATCGAGAGCCGGCAGTCGGCTGTGGACGCGCAGAGAGATGGGGGACCTGTGGAGCTACTGGGCCAACGGCATGGCGGATGCAGCTGCGAGGCACTGGGCCAGGCAAGCTGCCGTGGATGACGCTGCTGTGGACTCGAGAGAGCATGCCGGAGCCATAGGCTGGGCTGCGCGAGAGCATCTAGCCAATGCGCTTCTTTGGCCAGCGAGCCGCCTCTGGGGTGGGGCTGGACACAATGTGGCCCGCTCGTTCGATAACCATGGAACTCCAGGGGCGGCCGCGCGTGTCTTCTCGTGTGGTAGTTGCTCCTGTCTGGTCTGCCCCCTGCAGCGTCATCAGCGCGGCGGGCTCGCATGGAGGAGGGCTTCGCTAAGCGGCATCAGGGCCCGACGCGAGGCGTCGAGAACCGCTGGGCCGAACCGCCCCTGCGCCCCCCGCCTTCGGGGGGTGGGGTCGCGCGAGCGGGGGGGCCAGTGAACAGAGTTTTCTCCTCTCGGGCCGGCAGCCCGCTCTGGGTTTCTTGATAAGCGCGCGGGGGGGTACCCCCCCGACGGGGGTCAACCACCTTCGTCGTCGCGCCGCGGCGGAGATCGGAGCGCCGTCGGCGCGCGGAGGGAGCCCGCGACGGGGGTCGATGCGGGGTGCGTCGGCGGGGGCGACACCCCCCCGACGCGTATTAAGAATCTTGGAGTAGACAATACGATTCGTAATATGCGCTAGCTGCAGGGCACTGGGTCGGGGGCTGCTCCCGCGGATCCGCAAGCACCAGCCGCATGGGAATGGGCTGAATCTGTGTGCCGTGGGCCGGGTCCGATGTCGGGGGATGTCCCCGCGGCCGTCCAGGAGGCGCTGGAGGTTCTGTGCCTTGGAGGTGGCACTTGGTGGGTGGTTTCCCCCGCGGACCCCGTGTGCCACGCCCGCGCCGGAGGCTGAACTGGCGGGCGTTCCTTTTCTGTCCTCTCCTTCGTCTTCGTCCGCACTGTGCTGCGCGGGGGTGGCTCTCATGCCTGACAGGGTGGTGTTCGGCCAGCGGAATAGTAAATACGTCTCCTCCTCTTCCTCCTCCTCCTCCTCCTCCTCTTTTTCTTCTTCCTCCTCCTCCTCCTCCTCCTCCTCCTCCTCCTCCTCCTCCGCCTCCTCCTCCTCCTCTCCCCCCCTTCATGAGGAAGGGAGACAGGAGAAGTCAGGAGGGCGAGAGTGACTGTGGAGGTTGGAAAGGGGGAATGGATGGTGAGGAGGGGCGGGAGGGGATTGGAAGAAACCGGCGGGATCTGTCGGTGGAGGAAGAGGGGGGGATGGTGATGACGGTTCGGGTGGCAACGGGAGGGAGGGGCAGCAGCGGAAAATGTAGCAGTTGCGGGCCTATGTCCCGCGTCATGTTTTTTCCTCGCCGTCTTTGTCATTCCCTCTGTGTTTTGTTTCGTCGCGCGTGTGGGCGAGGATATGGATCAGCTCCAATCTTAAAACGTACACCAGTAGGGCGAGAGAGGGGCTGGCGAAGGCACGAGCGGGCGAAGGAGGAGCATGAGCAGGAGCAGGAACAGGAACAAGAGGAGGGAAGGTGAGGAGCAGGCGGGGGAGCATGATGAGGATCACGGGGACATGACGAGGATAATTGTTGCCGAGGGAGGCGGGGAGGATGACCGCAGCAGGACGGGCTAGGAGGAACTGCCCCTCCCTCTTCTGCCAGCTGCTTTTTCCCGGGACACGTTGTGTTTGCACGACGTGTTTCGTGTGGTGCAATGTGTGAGTGTTAGAGATGAGGAGTAGTGCAGGTTGGGTGTCTCACGGGAAGAGCTGGAGGGGCGCTGGGTAAGGAGGAGTCGCAGGAAGTGCGTTGAAGGACGAGCATCTGAGGCACCATGTTCGAGGAGAAGTGCAGGATCAGGAGGGTGATTCGGCGGCGCGGGTGCCCAGGTGTTTTTCGTTTTTGAGCCATCCGCTTGGGAATGGTGCTCGTTTGGGGTTGGCCATGCAGAGCAGACCCCCCAGCCGCTTCCAGTTTTAGGGTCTATCAATGGGGCCCGGGGCTTTTTTGCGAAGAGGCTCATGGTCTTGATCCGTGCTCTCGGTCATGCTCCGACTTTGCACAAGCGCGCACGAGCGTCTGCAACACGAGGCTGGAAAGTCCACGGCCACGGATGGTTCGGTTTACCCTGTTGCGGTGCGACGCAGTGGTAATACCAAGCGTCACCGCATTCTGTGTCAACGCATGCCGGCTTAGTCTGAGCATGTGCGTATGCATATGCGTGCATACGCGTGTGCGCACGTACTTAGGAAAAGGTCGAGGACGTTTTGGGGGGCCCAGTCTGTTTTGAAGACGATGTTGGGTGAAGGAGTTGTCATGCCGCTTCCTCCCTGCCCCCCATGCCGAGGCTGTTATCCCTTCTACTTGTTCACCTCTCCTCTTCATACCAATCAGAATCAGATCATTCCCTCCTGGGTGAGATGAGGAGGAGGAGAAGGAGGAGAAGGAGAGAGGAGCCATGAGCACGGGGGAAGGGGAAGTGACATAGTCCTCTCCCCCTCTACTTCTTCCTCCTTGCCCCCCTCCTCGTCGGCCGCCTCCTCCTCGCCGCCCTCCTCGCCTCCGCCTCGCCATCCCCGCCCCCCTCCTCATCCTCATCTCCCCTCGTCTTCCCCCCCCCCCCCCCTCCTCCCCCACCCCCTCCCACGGCGCAGGAGGAGGAGGAGGAGGAGGAGGAGGAGTAGAGGAGGAGGAGGAGGAGGAGGGAGGAGGTGGGAGGAGGAGGGAGGAGGAGGAGGAGGAGGAGGAGGAGGAGGAGGAGGAGGAGGAGGAGGAGGAGGAGGAGGAGGAGGAGGCGCAGCACGCCGAGTTTTGGCCAAAGGGCGCTGCGAGGAAGGCCGCCTCCGAGCGCCCGCCGGTCCTTTGGCGCGCCCTCCCCTCGGCGGGCCGCGGCTCCCTGGCGCGGGCGAGATGGACACCTACTCGTCTCGGGCGCTCGTAGGAGGGGGTTCAGGAGGGGAGAAAACACACACAGAGGAGGGCACGGCCCGCACACCGTGGGCCACGGAGGAGCACCGAAGATCGCAAGTTGCACAAGCAGGGGCTTTCTGAGCGCTGGCTGCCCTCAGAACGCCGATCCAGGCCACAGCAGTGGCCAGCATCGCCCTGACCACCAAACCGCTACCTCCACGAGGGGCGAGGAGGAGGAGGAGGAGGACGAGGACGAGGACGAGGACGAGGATGAGGAGGAGGAGGAGGAGGAGGAGGAGGAGGAAGAGGAGGAGGAGGAGGAGGAGGAGCTTGTCGCCTAAGAGCCAGTTTCCCTCCCCGGGGAAGGCCCGGGAGGGAGGGGGCGCCACCGGGGGCCCCGCTCTCCGCGGAGGGCACGGCCCGCACGCCTCGAAGGCGCAAGGGAGAAGGAGCCGCTGGCCGCCTCGGGAGGCCCACGGGCAGGGCGCGCTTCTTGGGCTCCCCCCCCCCCCCCTGGCGGCCCCCGGAGCTCGGCGAGGGCCTCGCGGGACTCGGGGGCCCCCAAGCGGGGGGGTGACCACGCCGTGCGGTGAGTCGGTGGGGATTCGGGGTCACCGCCACGGTTTTGGGACTCGGGTCGCTCGCCGAGGGCGTCTCGGGCGACAGGGGGCCTCCAGGGTCCCAAAGTCGTGCAGTGACGGACCGTGCGGTGAGGTCTTGAGGGACTGCGAGGTCACCGCACGGTGTGTCACCGCACCGCTTCGGGACTCCAAGGGGACGGCGGCCACCTGTCGAGGGGGGAAGGAAACACACAGACACAATTCATCGTCGACCCCCCAGAAAAGTATGGGAAAATATGGGAAGTGGGGGGGAAGACGAGGACCCCGAAAATATGGAACAATATGGGGAATCCTGGTATGGTTGTCTACTTATTTGTGTGTCCCAAGGCTCGTTCAACCTGCCGAGGAAGAGACAGCGGCATGAACATTGATTTTCGGAGTTCTGTGCGGTTTTCGTGGATCGGCGCTGAACCCCCTGGCGCTAAGTCGGGCATGTCCCTCTACAGGAGGAACGTTCAGACATTTAAGAGAATAGTCGGTGGACGATGTTTCTACGATGTTGTTGCTATTGTTGATCCTGTTTCGTGTATTTTCCGCTGTTCTTCCAAAATCCACCTGTAGGAGGACATGCCCCGACCTGACCCTGGCGGCGCCTCCAGCGCTGCTCTTCCAAGAAAATCCGCGTGGAGCCCCGGCTGGCCACACGTTGGAGTCGGCTGGGGGTCGGGGTGGTCCATCACTGGTTCTGGCCAGCAGCTCGGGAAGGGGGGACTCGAGGGCCCCCGAGACACACAAATGAATACACACAAATAAAACTATGCCCCATGTTTCCCTATATCTTCTGGGTTTTTGTCTTCCCCCCCACTTCCCATATGTTGCCATCTTTTCTTCTGGGGGATCGACGATTCATTGTGTCTGTGTGTGTTTTTCCCCTCCTGAGGGACGTTCGCGGCGCTGGCAGCTCGGGAAGGGGGGACTCAAGGGCCCCTGAGACACACAAATGAATACACACAAATAAAACTATGCCCCATGTTTCCCTATATCTTCCGGGTTTTTGTCTTCCCCCCCACTTCCCATAGTTTGCCATCTTTTCTGGGGGATCGACGATTCATTGTGCCTGTGTGTTTTTCCCCTCCCGAGGGACGTTCGCGGCGCTGGGTTCGCGCAAAGGTTGCCTGCCTTTCTCGACCTCCCGGGGGACCGTCGTCGGGCCCGGACGCCGTCAGAGACGGCTCCCGGCGAGCAGCGAACAGATCGGACGGGCCCCAGGAGGGGTCCCCCCGAGCGACCTGTCGGGGGCGGAAAAGAGGGGGGTGATGACTAGGGGGGGGGGGGGATATCATGGCGTGGGCCATGATATTTCCCCAGATCTCATGGCGCCGCTTCTTATTCCATTACGTCCATGGCCCATGATCTGCTCGTACGGCAGGTTTGCGTCGTGTCGACCAGCGGCGACCCCAGCGTGGGCGTTCAAGGTTGAACGCCGCTGGCGACCCAGAATCGATCGACGCTGAACGATCGGACGTTGCGGCAGCGGCCGATCGTTCAAGGTTGAAGGATCCCTGCGGTGTCAAAAACCAACGCTGGGGTCGGCACGACACGAACCTGCCGTACCCCCCCCCGTCTTGACGGATCTTTTGGGGGGCCCATCCAGCCCAGACCCTGCGGCCACCAACACTGGCGTCCAGCCGGGCCTGTCCCTCTATACGGGAGGAGTGTTCAAGAACAGCCCCAAGAATAGTCTGGGGGCGATTGGTTCCGTATTTGTTTGTATTCTTGTTGTTTTTTGTTAACGTATGTTGAATGCTTCGCCCAAAATCCGCCTGTAGGGGGACCTGCCCGACCTTACACTGGCGCCTTCAGTGGGCCACGTCGCGGCCCCTGGGGGCCGAGGGTGCTGCACGATTCTGTTCATGCCGCTTCTCTTCCTCTGAGCATGCCATGTTCGTTGAGATTAAGTCGGGCCTGTCCCTGTCCCTCTACAGGAGGACTCTTCAAGAACAGTCAAACAAATAGTCTGGGACGATGTTGGGAATTTGTTTTTCTATTTGGGTGCATGCTTTGACTATGTTTAACGTTTCAGCCAAAACCCGGCTGTAGGGGACACGCCCGACCTAACCCCAGGGAAGGGGTCGGGACCTCTGGGGCCGCGGGTAACAAAAACAGATCGGTGGACGTCAGGCTCCTAGGTGGGGATCCGAGTAGATGGGGTCGGAGGATCGCGCCGCATCACCGATGCATCGCCGACGCTGCTCGATGTGGAGCCCGATTTGCTCCACGCCGACGTCGCCGATGCTAGCACCCCCGCTTCGGGCCACCTCCCCTTTCGGGTGCAACGATAGGGGGTGATAGGCATAGGGGGGGATGCATCGACCCCCAATCGCCCATTGATCGCCGATAGGGGCCCGATAGCCCCAGCCTGCCCAGGACGGTGCGGATTCACTATCGGAGGCCTATCGCCGATCTATCGACGATGTATCGCCGATTCCAGGTCGATGCATCCCCCCCTATGCCAGTCCCCCTGTCGTTGCCCCTCACCCTTCAAGAGCACCCGATCATCGAGGCTTAATACGCTCTTCTGCACCTTCGTCACGGTCCTCGGCACTACCGCGGCTCTGAACCATATGACCTCGTACCTCCCGGAGTTCGCCACGTCGTCCACGGGCGACATCGCATTGAACAAAGTCCATGACCTCACCATAAACACATATCTAAAAATGGACCAATGCATGTTGTCATTCGACATTTCGCACAACTTGACGAGCGAGTTCAACTGGAACATGAACCAGCTGTTCGTTTACGTTGTCGCTTCCTACAACAGCTCCTCCAACAAGAGAAACGAGGTCACCATCTGGGATCGGATCGTGACCAACTCGCGCGAGGCGTATTTGGTCGCGCAGAGCCTGAAGGTGGAATACCCTCTCCGCGACCAATATCAGGAACTCCGCGGCAAGAATGTCTTGCTGGAGGTGCGGTACCGCACGATGCCAATCACCGGCATCATGTACACGAAGCAGGTCGGCTTCGGAAGGAATTCATGGGAGCCTTGTATGTCCTTCCAAATCGCGTCTTTAGAGTGCATCTGCGTGAACTAGCGTTTGATAGCCGATAAGAAAGCATAGTTCTAGCGCGCAGTAGCGTCGAATTAGCGTCGACTGGCTTTTAGCGCCGATTCGCATGAGCCAGCAAGATGGCATGGAAGACTTCCATGAGCTGCCACAGAAAGGTCGGCTCGCACGTGTTCCCTGTCAACACGGAGTACTTCCGCGACGAGTCCACCGTCCAGCAGAAACCCAAGAAGCGGTGACCAGGGAGAGCCGTGAGCGCGTGGCTCGTCAGAGCACGCGCCTCGACCTGCCAGCCGCGCCTCGCTGCCCTTTTCCACATCTCACCCCCGGTCATGTTGCCGTCGAAGGAGAAACATTTGCACAGACATGAACTGTCGCAGGTCGGGGGATGGATTGTTTGGGCCGGCGATGTAGTCGGGCGGGGCTATGTTCTGGAAGGGTCTCAGAGCGTTCCGGGACGCTCTGAGAAGGCCGCCGCGCCCGATACATCTTCTAGAAGTGCTGGATCTCAGCCATCCCAGATTTATCTCTGTCCGAGTTTATCCTTGTCCTGGTTTCGCCTTGCGGCGCCTCTGGCGCCGCCCCTGTCGCGCTCAGCGCGCTAGGGATGGGGTATCCAGTCACGACCCAAGCAGTTCGACCTCGGACAGTTTGGCAGGCCCAGAGGTTGACACCAACACCAAAATCGGCGGTGTGCCTCCACCGAGGGGAGATGATCTCGATCTTGGTGGTGGTGGTGATACTCTGGCTTCCCAGGCGGCCGAGATATTGCCAGCAACACCGGAATCTGTGGTCTTCCTCCCCCGGTGAGCGCAGCACCCCCCTCTTTTAGTGTTGGTGCCTATCTCGAAGCCTCCAGCAGTTGTGTCTATGCCGATGCTTCGTCTCCTTCCACTCCGACACCGCCGCCGGGGGGACCGCGCGGGGGTACGTCCCCCCTGCACCCCAGGCAGAGGGCCCTCGGCGAGAGGGCGTGGGTCACCAGCAGAGGGCCGGAGGCAGGATGGGAAGAGCAGGGCGAGGAGGAGGAGGAGGAGGAGGAGGAGGAGGAGGAGGAGGAGGGAGGACAGCTACGTGCCAGGAACAAAAAAAAAAAGCTACGTGCCAGGAGGAGGAGGAGGAGGGAGGACAGAGACGAGGAGGCAGAGGAGGAGGGCGAGGAGGAGGAGGAGGAGGAGGCAGAGGAGGAGGAGGAGGAGGAGGCAGAGGAGCAGCGAGGGGGCAGAGGAGCAGCGAGGAAGACACGGAGCGCGAGGGGCGAGCGGCAGGGGAGGGGCGCTCGCAGCAGGGGGGCGACGAGACACGCACACCGCCCCGCTCGGCTCCCCGGGCGCCCTCCCGCGCGCCCGCGCCGGCGCCTCCGGAGGGACGAGGCGCGCCGCGGCGGAGTGCCGGGCGATCGCAGTGCCAAGCCAGGCGTGTCCCTCTACAGGGAGAGAGAGGGGGGGGGGTCAAACGAGCAGGTTGGATATCACTGGGGGGGGATGATTCTAGGCCTCCCAGATGGGGTCGGAGTAGATGGGGTCGGAGGATCGCGCCGCATGGCCGATGCATCGGCGATGCGGCTCGACGTGGAGCCCGATTTTATCCACGCCGACGTCGCCGATGCATCGCCGACGTCGCCGATGCATCGCCGATGCATCGGCGATGCATTGGCGAAGCGGCGCGATCCTTCGACCCCATCTGCTCGGACCCCATCTAGGAGGCCTCTGATTACAGAGGGGGGAGCCTCTCACACACGCCCGACAACCCCGGCTCAAGGAGTCGGCGCGCGTGTTCAATGCGCGGCCACAGAGGGCTCGACCTCCCTGGGACGGTTTCTCTCGCCCGGATCTGATGCTGATGGCTCCGGGGCCCGAGCACGGGCCCCAGCGCAAGAACCCCAGAGATTTGGGGTTACGTCGGGCATATCGCTCTACAGGAGGAACATTCCAGAGTAGACAAAAAATACTTTGGGGACGGTGTTTTGCGCATTGTTGGGCTATTTGGGGGCATCTTCTGAGCATGTTTGCATTTTCGCCCCAACTCCGCGTGTAGGGGGACATGCCCGGAGCCATCGCAGCCCAGGGTGCAGCAGCAGGCCTCCCTCTCTCTCCGAGGGGCAGGGCGGCGAAGAGGAGGGTGTGAGGGGGGAGGAGGAACGAGAGGAGAGGACCCGGGAGACGGGAGGAAGAAGTGGGGGCGGGGTGGACATGTCGGGGGCAACGATAGGGGGTGATAGGCATAAGGGGGGGATGCATCGACCCCCAACCGCCCATTGATCGCCGATGGGGGCCCGACAGCCCCACCCCGCCCAGGAAGGTTCGGATTCACTATCGGGGGCCTATCGCCGATCCATAGGCGATGTAGCGCCGATTCCAGGTCGATGCATCCCCCCCTATGCCAGTCCCCCCTGTCGTTGCCCCTCAGGTGGGGGCGGGGTGGAGATGGAGGGGGGAGGCGCAGGTCGGGTACAGCCAGGACCCTGGGTAAGGGGACCCGGTTGGTGGTAGGGCCCCGGAGCCCCTGAATTGGCCAGAATCACTTGGTAGTCCCCAAACGTGGTGGTGACAATACCTGGTGGTGAGTCTCGGGCGATTTGGTGTCACCACCCGGTTTGGGGACTCGTGCGGTTGTCCGAGGATGTCCTGGACACTGGTGGGTCCAGGAGTCACAAAACCCGGTGGTGACCCCGCGTCCCCAAACCCAGCGGTGACCTTTTTGGGGATTCCAGGTCGCCACCTGGTATCTCACCACCCGGTTTGGGGGTTCCCAAATCACCAGACCAGGTCTGCCGTTGGTGATGATTTTACCTAACAGCGAAGACTGATAGGTTTCTAGTGGGGTCAATGGAGAGCATCTTGACTCCCCAGGGGGGTCTGGGCGGGATCCGGACGGGAATCCGGGGATCTGGGCGGGATCCGGACGGGATGCCGGGACTCCTTCTTTAGCAAGCAGTAACGCACTTCGTGGTCTTCGAGGTCCAAGAACTCCATTCTTGGGCATGATTTTGAATGCCCGGAGCCAACTGTAGGCCACTTCGTGTTCTTCGAGTTCCCAGAACTCCATTCCTGGGCATGATTTTGAATGCCCAGAGCCAACTGTAGGCCACTTCGTGGTCTTCGAGTTCCCAGAACTCCATTCCTGGGCATGATTTTGAATGCCCAGAGCCAACTGTAGGTCACTTCGTGTTCTTCGAGTTCCCAGAACTCAATTCCCGGGCCACATTTTGAATGAGGCAGGCTGATGTTGAGGCTGAGGCTGAGGCTGAGGCTGATGCAGGCTGAGGCCGAGGCCGAGGCTGAAGGCAGACTGAGGCTGAGGCTGAAGCAGGCTGAGGCTGAGGCTCAGGCAGGCTGAGGCTGAGGCTGAGGCAGGCTGAGGCTGAGGCTGAGGCTGATGCAGGCTGAGGCTGAGGCAGGCTGAGGCTGAGGCCGAGGCAGGCTGATGCTGAGGCAGGCTGAGGCTGAGGCTGAGGCTGATGCTGGCTGAGGCTGAGGCAGGCTGAGACCGAGGCTGAAGGCAGATTGAGGCGGAGGCTGAAGCAGGCTGAGGCTGAGGCTGAGGCTGAGGCAGGCTGAGGCTGAGGCTGAGGCAGGCTGATGCTGAGGCAGGCTGAGGCTGAGGCTGAGGCTGATGCAGGCTGAGGCTGAGGCAGGCTGAGGCTGAGGCCAGACTGAGGCTGAGGCTGAGGCTGAGAGGCTGAGGCTGAGGCTGAGGCAGGCAGGCTGAGGCTGAGGCTGAGGCTGAGGCAGGCTGAGGCGAGGCTGAAGTTGAGGCTGAGGCTGAAGCAGGCTGATGGCTGAGGCTGAGGCAGGCTGAGGCTGAGGAGGCTGAGGCAGGCTGAGGCTGAGGCTGAGGCTGAGGCCGAGGCTGAAGGCAGACTGAGGCTGAGGCTGAAGCAGGCTGAGGCTGAGGCTGAGGCAGGCTGAGGCTGAGGCTGAGGCAGGCTGATGCTGAGGCAGGCTGAGGCTGAGGCTGAGGCTGATGCAGGCTGAGGCTGAGGCAGGCTGAGGCTGAGGCCGAGGCTGAAGGCAGACTGAGGCTGAGGCTGAAGCAGGCTGAGGCTGAGGCTGAGGCTGAGGCAGGCTGAGGCTGAGGCTGAGGCAGGCTGAGGCTGAGGCTGAGGCTGAGGCTGAGGCTGAGGCTGAGGCTGAGGCAGGCTGAGGCTGAGGCCGAGGCTGAGGCTGAGGCTGAGGAGGCTGAGGCTGAGGCTGAGCAGGCTGAGGCTGAGGCTGAGGCTGAGGCAGGCTGAGGAGGCAGGCTGAGGCTGAGGCTGAGGCTGAGGCAGGCTGGCTGCTGAGGCTGGCTGAGGCTGAGGCTGAGGCTGAGGCTGAGGCTGAGGCTGAGGCTGAGGCTGAGGCTGAGGCTGAGGCTGAGGCTGAGGCTGAGGCTGAGGCTGAGGCTGAGGCTGCAGGCTGAGGCTGAGGCTGAGGCAGGCTGATGCTGAGGCAGGCTGAGGCTGAGGCTGAGGCTGATGCAGGCTGAGGCTGAGGCTGAGGCAGGCTGAGGCCGAGGCTGAAGGCAGACTGAGGCTGAGGCTGAAGCAGGCTGAGGCTGAGCTGATGCAGGCTGAGGCTGAGGCTCAGGCAGGCTGAGGCTGAGGCAGGCTGAGGCTGAGGCTGAGGCTGAGGCAGGCTGAAGGCTGAGGCAGGCGGAGGCTGAGGCCGAGGCTGAAGGCAGACTGAGGCTGAGGCTGAAGCAGGCTGAGGCTGAGGCAGGCTGAGGCTGAGGCTGAGGCAGGCTGAGGCTGAGGCAGGCTGAGGCTGAGGCTGATGCAGGCTGAGGCTGAGGCTGAGGCTGAGGCTGAGGCCTGAGGCTGAAGGCAGACTGAGGCTGAGGCTGAAGCAGGCTGAGGCTGAGGCTGAGGCAGGCTGAGGCTGAGGCTGAGGCAGGCTGAGGCTGAGGCTGCTGAGCACTGCGACTGTCAGTGCTACCGAGAGAGAATGGGCTCATCCTTAGACTGCAAACATTGAGCCCATTCCTTTCGTCAAAACGTCCACCTTCTTGGATCACAAAGTTGCGTTTTTGGGCTTTCCGACGTTACAGGACGGCCCACGAGGCGCCCAAGACCGCCCCAAGACGGCCCAAGAAGCTTCCAAGAGGGCCCAAGGACAGCCCAAGAGGGCCCCAAGACGGCCCAAGAGGCGCCCAAGATGGCCCAAGAGGGCCCCAAGACGGACCCAAGAGGGGGCCCAGAGGGGGACCACGAACCGCACGCTCGAGCCTTCCGCCCCAAGAGGCCGCCAGGAGGCCCCAAGGAGGCCCCTCAAGAGGCCCCAGGAGACCCCCAAGAGGCCCAAAGGAGGCCCCGAGAAGCCCCAAATCGGCCCCCAAAATGCTTCGAACCTGCTTCCAGGAGGCCCCCGACAGGTTCAGAGGCTCCCGAGAAGCTACGTCAAACTCCCAGCGAGAATGATCCTGGCTAGAACCTAAGCGCGCGCGAAGCGCGCGCGTGGTTCTAGTCAAGATATGCTCCTACACATCGCTGTTAGGTTGCTTTGCCGGGATACTTTCGGGTGGCGACAGTTCCGGTTCGTGGAACGGGGCGGGGGGGGGCGTCTCCTACTACACATCACTAAACCAGGTCCTACTAAACCCAGTTCTGCCAACGCCCGAATGGAGGGGGGAGGCACAGGATGAGGAGGAGGAGGAGGGGGCGGGAGGAGGGGGGAGGGTGGGAGGGGGAGGAAAACCAGAGGAAGCCCACAATGCGTCAACGATGCTGCAATGCATCCTACCTTCCCATGGCCCCCTCTCGCCACTCGCAGGTATCTGCAGCCGTCTTTTCACTACGAGAGAAGCGTCACCACGAATGACCAGCGCCACGAGGGCCTGTCATGCAGGCGGGGGCCGCCTTTTTGAAAAACGGCAGCCCCGCAACCTTCCAGGTAATCGCAACGGCGCCCGGACAAAAAGTGCCACGCCGACGGCGGGAAGACAATCTAAAACGATGCGAAGATCGGGACAAAATCGGATCGGGATAACTCGAAATCTCTGAGACTCGGCGGGTTTGGAGGATGTATTGGGCGCCGCGGCCGCTCCAGAGCGTTCCGGAACGCTCTGAGAGCGCTCCGGAACGTTCTGGAGCGATTTATCCCGATCTTAGCTCTGTTTTGCAATCAGGCGCGATGGCAACGACAATTGCAATATGCATGTGGCTCGCCCCCCCCCCTCCCCCCCAAACCCAAAGTTGGTAGTGGTGTCCGTATTTTGCCCCCCGCGCGTTGCCTTCCATCCAACCCCGTCAACTCTGGGTTTGGGGGGGACGGGGGCTATGGACATTTGTTCGACGCAGTTCGACGTCGTGTCATCTTGGCGCGATGGGTTTGGACACATTTTGTCCGCCCACCGAAGGAATGCGGAACATGGTATGGCCATGCAGTTCGTCGAGGTGTCCAGCGAGGTCCCCTTCTCGAGCGAGACGCACCCAGCATTCCCATCTGCGTAACCTTAAGTCGGGCGTGCCCCTCT